GTTCCATGTCACTAGGCCTAAATGAAGGTACAACAGTACAACGCACTCTGATGAAAGGATTATTAGTTTTGTTCACCAAATGAAATGCAAAAGGGTCCAGCTCAATAGCCATAGTTGGTACCATACACTGAACCATAGCCTCCTGATTGACCTGGAACGCCTGGATTTGTAGGGGCAGATGAATACATAGAAGTAGGAGGAGCTCCATAGGAGTTGTAGCCTTGGTCAGCTGGTGGAGCTGTCTGTGCCTGAGGCGCCCCTGCATCTGCCATGAAATTCTACGACACACAAATGAAGAATAAACAAATACATTTCAAGATAGGATATGAGAAGCACGGATATTGGCTAAACCAAAAGTCAAATGGAAAAAGAAAAGACGGCACTTTGCACCCACTCAACAGAAACTCATATGCATATGCACATACCAGCAGAAAAAAGAGCTTAAATCTTATGACAAGTGAAGCAAGAATTTTACCTGTACCAATTGTTGTGCTGTTTGGACTTGAGAAGCAGTTCCACTGATCTCAACAGTCATCTCCCCAGGAACTCCCCTTGTTTCCTGTATGGTAACAGTAGCACCACTAACCCGCCGGATGTAGCTTATGCTCGCACCATTTGTTCCAATCACAGCATCAGCATAGGACAATGGGATCTGCATATGCTGTGTAATCTGCAAAACTATGCCCTCAGAACAAGCAAAAACTCGCACATGAATATCTTTCTTTTTCTCATTTTGTTTACTAGCACTTCATCGTGACCATATTAGGTTTGCTTAGGATGTCTTGCATATAAATTGCCAATATTTTTGCAATCTAAAAATATTTCTGAAGTTCAATCCTTAATTCTCAGCTAAGTATCCAATTTGATAAAGTATCAGTGTAAGGCCAAGGATATATGCTATTTGTGCATAATGCAGTGATTCAGATTGGCACCAACTGAAAACAACAATGCCATTACAAGCCTAAGACATCTCTAAAAATGCTAAAAGAAAACCATGATATATCAGGAAATCAAGTTTGTTTAACCAACGAAGTACCAACTGAGGTCACAAAAGAAGCTCGGAGAAACAAGAAATCAAACGATACAAAAGCAGGCAAAAAAGAAGCCTAAAAGATCAAGTAACTGATTGAGCAGTCTTTGCGGGGAAAAAATGGACGAAAACAATGATTAAGATTGGAAGCAACACGTCACTAAATGAGTGAAAATTATTGGAAGCGACACAAGTTACAAAATGAGTCCTAAAATATATTCTCCCTGTATCACATCATAGTAACACCTATTACTATTTCGGAAGTCAAAATTTTCTTCAACTACAATTTTCTCAAAAAAAATCAAAATATTTTAACTATAGAATATTGTGATTTATAAGTACATTAACAAAATCTCTAATCAAGCAAATTTTCTTTTTACAAAATTAAGAAATGTATGTCCAAAGTCACACAGAAAATTAGATAGGTTGAACCTCTAACTCCAAAAAACCTGGCAGGGAGTACTTCTCAAGTAAAGCTAGGAGTTGTCCGACTAGCTTAGTTAACAGAACTGCCTGGGAATAAAATTCTACAAAAGCTACCCTACCATTTATGCATTTCTTGCTTAGCTAAATAACCTGCACTATAGTGCATCAAGGTATCACCCACTACAATTTGATACCTGTTACTGAAGTGCATATAGGGTGTGTAGCAATTTCCCCTTTTTTGGTAATTCCCACCTGTCTTTTAGTGAATGACTGCCAGCCTTTTGGTTTCTTTCAACAGAATGGTGGGAAAGATGGGCATGTAGAGTTGAAGCTGTAGTTAATTTCAAAACTAATGAACTGTTCTCCTCATGTAAACCAACAATAAGAAGCTTAACACACCCATTTCTCTTTAACTACTGACTCAGTTTGCTTAGAGTAACAGAACATACCTGAGTAATCAGAGACGGTGCGGTTGTGTTGTTGGATGATGAATGCATTGACATAGGAGTTTCTCTTCCATATGCAGAAATTCCCTGATGAGGTTGTTTCTCCAGTGGGGGTGGCATGTCAACTGGAGCATAATAACTATCATGTTGCCTCGATGGTGGCATGTCAGCTGGAGGGTAATAACTATCATGTTGCCTTGATGGTGGTGGCATGAAATGAGGATTAGATCCATATCCCGGACCTCCAGCAGCGCTTGAGGGGAAAGCTTGGGGAGGAGGACCCCAAGACTGTGGAGGTGGCATGTGTTCCACTGGTCGATTTGGCATTTGCATCTAAACAATAAATAAGTTCATTATCCATCAAAAGATGCTAAGATACAGTCCTAAAAATTTCTAATTGAAATGAGGCTTACTTGCATCTCAAATACTGGGATTATGCTGCGATCAACCAAAAATTTCCTCAAGTGATTAGCAATTAACTCAACTGCCTTGTGTACACTTGCAGGCTCCCCTACTACTTCAACTATCCTATCATCTTGAAGTGCAAAAACAGGAAGATCCTCTGCAATGATATGTAGCATCACAAGAAGGAAGTAAGACCACATGAACTAGTGATTAAGTTGCAGTTAAGAACACAAAATTGAACCAAACAGTCCCAAAGAATAGTTCATGATGAACGTAGAGAGGCTATAGTACCAATTAAGGACCTCGCAATCTCCAAATCCAACCGAACAATTTAACCACAGGAATTACCTTACCTAACTCCTCTAGTATTAAGTTAGACATACAAAAGTATACACAACCGGAATATGACTTTCCACATTCTAGTTTATTTTATGTTTTAGCTTTCCACTAATCTGTTATTTCATGTTTAAACTTGACTCCAATATGAGAAAAGTTTTAGTTTAATCTCAGGTTTAAGATTTCCAAAGAAGGATGAGACCAAATTCAATTGGAAAAAGTTCAAGTCTTGAAAAAACGTCTAAGCTTGGCGAATTTTAATTCAGTGTGCTCAAGCCTACGCATACAAACAGTACACATACCTAGAGTACAAAAAGATTAGATGCCTCCTTGAGCTAGGAGGATCACCACGTGCTCTTGAGCCAAAGTGTGGAACAACGTAGTCCTACACGCAACGAGATGTAAGAGGTCCTGACTATAAATCCAATATTAGACCAAAATGACCAGCGAACAAAACCACATCCTTGGCATCAAATTCATTCAGTGAGGCTTCACTAATGTTTTCATACTTAATGTTTGCTTTCACTTGTTCATTCAGGTATATTTTGATAAATAAGAACAAAAATAATACTCCCTCCATCCTATTTATGTGACTCTTTTCATTTTAGTCAGTACCAAAAAGAATGACACCTCTTTGGAAATAATTTTTATCACAGAATCCCCATTTTACCCTTAATGACATGATTTTATAGACACAAATATCTCATGGCATGTTTGAAACCACAAGTTTCAGAAGTCTTTTTTTCTTTTGTAAATTCCATAACCATCAAGCCCCTTCACGTAAAATGGGAGGGAGGGAATAATTGAAATCTTTTAAGAAAATGCATTTTATTCGGTGACTCTTACAGCTTCTCAACGGTATTTGATGATCTGCATTTGGATCCCATCGACCCTCTCAAACTAACTCTTCTTTGATAAGGCACTTACCGTGTCATCAACTCCATAAGCTTTTCCAAGCAAAATACTCTTTCCTGGAAGGAATTACATCCCCTGTATTGTTTTGAGTCAGAGAATTACAACCCTGTAGCTCATTTGCAACTACTCATAAAGAGGGCTAGGTCTTCTGTAATGACTAGACACATGGAGACCATAAAAAGTCTAATTTAGGCATATTGCGCTTGTTAAAATTTATGATCTTAATTTATCCTTTAGTTAAGATAACTCATTATTTTCTTTTTCCCCATCTTTTTATTAGATTTCTATGTCAATGTGAGTGAGCTGGGACCTAGAGAGTCTAGTTTTAGTTAACCCCTACTATGCATTAAAAGAACATTATTTAGTATTTAAATGAAATGGGCCTGAATAAAGATAAATGGGTATAAAAGATTTATATAGTTAACCCCAACTAGTTTAGATCGAGGCTCAATTAGTAATACTAAATTTTAATTTTGACCTAGAAAATTTCCTGAACTTCTGCCCTTGGTTTGCCACTTACTACAAGATTTACAGCATCTGGATTACATTGTACAATGACAGCATATATCTGGAACATGTTTATCTCCGTTTTGGACTCAGCTGGGTTATGCCAGGAAGTGTCAAGGATGCATCTGGAGCACTTGGAAAGTTGGCAGCATCATCAGAAAAAACTGGAGGATGATACCTACTTGCATATTTTGGTGTGTTCGGGCCGAAAGAAACAGATGTTTTGATGAAATATCAACTCCAAATCAGTCCCTGAAAGCTGAATTCTTAAGTTTATATAGCTGGAGCAACTTATTCCCTGTAAATTCTCCTGACACCTTTTCGGATTTTGGTAACTCCCTATCCCTAGCATAGGCCTCACTGTATGGAGTAACAAAATCTCTTTTTCACCTAGTACTAGTATCTTTTGTAATAGCTCCACGATTTGCATCTTTTGATGCCATTAATGACGATGTTTACTTCATCAAAAAAGATTTACCACATCTGGATACCACAATTATATTTACATGAGAACAAGTTTTATTAACCTGATTCAATTCATACAAAACAAACTACGACGTATTAAACGTGCTATTATTACTAGAATGAAAAGGATAAGATCCGATACAAATTCATTAAAAGGCATGGCCAAAAGTCTTCTATTACCCTTTAGATCTCTTCTTTAGTTGTTGGAAAGATTTACAGGCTTCAAACTCTTGCTATTATTCTTTTGAGTAAATACTTCAAACTCTTATTATTTTTATTCTTACATGATTACCACTTAAATTCCTTATTCTATTTTTTTTTATAAGGTAAATTGTATTAATCAAAAGGGAGAAAAGACTCCCGTATACAAGTGGTATACCAAAAAGTAGAGAATTTACATCAGAACATGATTCTCTACAAAAGACGCCCAATCTTTCTACACAAGTAGGGGCTATATGGGTGCACCAAAAAGCGATCAAAGATAAAAGACTATTCTTAAGATGTGAAAAAGGAGACTCAATCCCCTCAAAAACTCTCCTATTTCTCTCTCCCAAAACTGTCCACATGAGAGCTAACGGGGCGAACTTCCACGCCTTTTGCTTGCTTCTTCTACGGAAACCGGCCCAGCTATATAGCATTTCCTTTACAGTGTTTGGCATCACCCATTAAACACCAAAAAGATTCAGGATTGCCCTCCACAAACCCGAGGACACAAGGCAATGCAACAGAAGATTATCAACTTCTTCCCCTGAGCTTTTACACATGTAGCACCAACTAACACGTGTAATTCCTCTCTTTCGCAGATTTTCCGCTGTCACTCCCCTCGCTGCTAGCCATGCAAAAAAGCACACCTTCGTGGGCGCCTTAGGAATCCAGATCGAGGAGTATGAAAAAGTAGCCTCCTCTCTCACCAACATATTCTGGTAAAAGGACTTTACGGTGAACAAACCATCGCCACGCAACCCCCATCTCCAAGAATTGCAAGATGGATAGGGCCTGTCTTGCCCGTATAGCAGTGCCAATAAATTTTGGAGCTCCGCAATCTCCCAATCTTGCGTGTTCTACTATACTAAAGTAACTTCCTCTCCACAAAGAAACACACTCACCATGCATAGTTTTCAAGGAAACATTGCAGGGAGCCAGGGAGTACTAGCCAAGGCTCAGATGATATATTGAAATGACTAACTCAATACAAGACCCTGAAACGTTGATGTTAATTATTCTGAGTTGAAACTTTGCCTGCATTAAAAGCTAACCTTTTTCCTGAACAAGAAACTCAAGAAAATCGCCCCCTCCTTGACACTTTAAAACAAGCTAGAAGGCACTAGTAATTTCATGCATTTATTCAAATAGAGCCAAGGGTACAAACCAAGACCACATAGATAAGATAGTTGATTGCACAAAGAGTTCAAGAACAAAAGAACTCAAAGGCAAAATGGATGTCCCTAAAACACGGACGAGAATGCTAACATCTTGTTCCTTGGTTGAATAACAGAGATATCCAAAAGCAAAGGAAAGAACCTGTTCCAAGAACTCTAACAATACACTGGGATGCTTCTTGAATGGTCTTGACAGTTGTCCCTTGTTTTCCAATTAGACTTCCAGCCTGTGCTGCTTGCACCAGCAGCTTTGTCGAGACCTTTCCAGGTATACCTGGAGGAGGATGAGAAGAATCACTCTCCAGCCCATCAACAACACGTTTATGAACCCTCAGAAGACCATCTATAGCAGGTGGAAGAGAGGCATCGGGATCCTCCTTGGCAGATACCATTACCTATCCGCATAGCAGCAATTCATTACAATAAATTATAACTTAATTGTACTTAACAAAAAATATGTTATAACTTAACTGCAGCGATACAAGTTTCGAATCATGAACTAGAAGAATGTGTGCTCTCTTCCATTAGCAAAATATATACATCTACATAAAGTATTTTGTCTTTCATTAGTACAGACTAAAATACTATAGGGAAAGTGTGTTCGCTTTCATTAGTACGAACCATACTCTAAGAATTGTGTTATTGTAAAAGACAGATATTTTAGAATGTTGGTTAATAAAATACTCCTGTGCCAAATCATCTGCCTTACATCTACGTTGGGTTGTTCCAGATTGTCTCCCTCTTCCAATAATAGAAACTTTTTCTCTACTATTCTAGACACCTGTGATTACTATTACAAAAATGCACTTCCATCTTATTCTAAACATTGAAATTACCAAAAAGTCAATGTAGTCTCTACTTTTGGACCTTTAAATTTAAAAATAATAAAGCTGTTATTCTTATTACAAAAATGAATTTTCATATTATTATAAAATTTGAAAGTTATCAAAAGTTAACGTTGTCTCTACTTTTGGACCCGCTTTAATTTAAAGAATAGTAAGGCTTCAACTCTTAAATGAAATTCATGTCCCAACTAAATGCGAAGCCAAAACTGGGACGGAGAGAGTAATCACAAAGCTCGTGCCAGAATATTGTGGCTCGCCTTCTTACATAGTAAGGAATTCTCTTTACTCAAATTAAATATATACCATCTGCATTCAAACGTTTTACCATATGTTCCATTTCTTAACAATTCAAATTAGAATGTCAAGGTTACTGTTAGTGTTAGAGATAGAGTGTTAAGAGAGTAATGTTATGCTAGATATCGTCCCACATTGGCAAATATCTTATGTGCCTAGTGTTTAAACTTTAAAAACCTATTGCCCTGCCTTGATCAAATCATCAAGCAATCTATATATCCTAACCGAAATGAAGCAATCAATATATCACCTCTATCGAATTCTTAAAGGGTATCAGATTCGCATTCTCACATGATATCAAAGTCTCTATGATCATTGTAGAAGTTCAAGGAACTTCCACCTAATAATGAAGGGCCACACACTGCCTGCCTGCTACAAATTTTTCCCTTACATTCTTTCCGGTGAATGCTCCAATGGCACTTTTGCTGACTTTCTTGAACAGACATTATAAGCTTCTTGTTTCACTTGCCATCAATTACCAGATGTCCGCATTTCTCTTAAACCCAATAGCAGTCACCCAACTCTACTTATAAAAGCGCAGCAGTTTTAAAAACTTTGACCAACTACACAAGCAGTTTTAATGAGTAGTTAAGACAGGTCCATAACGACCAACAGTTAATTTCACCCGATAAGTATCATACCTAGACAACCACAAGAAAGGAAGAGATGAGATGGGGAAAGAGACAAATAACAGCAAGAGGTCACGATCGAACAACTCAAATCCTTGATGTTTAGGACTTCCCAGCACCCTTTGACTAAGTTCTAAGTGTGTGTATATATATATATATAAAAAAAAATTGTTCTTTTTTT